AGGACAGCCTTACTCCAATGTCTGTGCTTTCTACTACTAGACTCTACCTCGCCCCCAATCTCAAATATAATTTTAAAATGAGAGACAGCTTATATTTTATGTAATATTACCAATCTTATCTAAAAGAAAATGAATTCACATGAGCAAGGAATCAGAATTGTTTACTCATTCAATATTCCACAAGCAAGACTGTATTCTGGTAACATGTTAATATGCTTCATCAAGAGGCTACTTTCCTAATTATCAGCATGATTCAAGGAATGTTAAAATTCTCATTATAAGTCTAGGTGTCAGATAATAAACCATATGTCACATGGAATTCTATTTTAGAAGATAGTGCTAACTCAACAGTATTAGGGATGGAAGAGCTCATCATACAAGAAATGTTGAAATAAAGGGGAAAGACACTTAGAAGTTGAATGATAGCTCCATCAACATAAAAGTTGTCTCTTGAAAAAGAATGCATAGCCCTTAATCAGAAGGCAAATATTATGCATAGATTATAATTAATTATTTCTACTATATTTATAACTCATTAAGTATTTTCTTTCAGGATTCTTTCCCTGAGGTCCTTAATTATTGATGTAGTCTGGAAAAAAAGATCCTTTCTGAAGGGAGTATGTGTGTGTTTGTGTGGGTGTGAACGTGTGTGTTCATAACCCAGAACCACTTAAGAGCCAGGTCATTAGTCTCCAGTCTGTGCACACAAAAGGGTGGGCCAGACAACAGTGGCAGGAAGATTACACTATGGATGGAACTACAGAAATTCCTCATCCCCACGGGCATCAGAGAGAGCTTCGCCAGGTTAGTCTTAAACCTAATCGGAGGAGAAGACTGCTCATGATGTATGCGTATAGACTCCAAATAGTGACCCCCCCAAAATCTCTGAAAGGTAAATTTGATATGCTTACAATACCAAATATAGCCAATAAATCTAGACTATTCTGTCTGTGGCCTCTGATTTTTCATTTGTCACATCAAAAATTCTGTTAAATATTGCTATACATGCTATTCATTCAAAGTGGGTGTGTAGGCTTTGAAGACAGGGAATCTAAATTTCACCTATATCTTTTGGTTGATTTACAATTCCCAAAAGCCAAGATATATGAGTATAATAACAAGACTCTATATTAATCACCTATGTCCACATATGCATTGAATAATAGTATACCTTTCTGCAATACTTTCCTTTTTCCTATGTATGCTATGTTTGTTCTGATTGTAGAAATGTCATTTTATGTCTCTGTTGAATCTACTAACTAAAAAATTTGAGCTTGTTGGGGCGCCTGGGTGGCTCAGTCATTAAGCGTCTGCCTTCGGCTCAGGTCATGGTCCCAGGGTCCTGGGATCGAGCCCCGCGTCGGGCTCCCTGCTCCGCAGGGAGCCTGTTTCTCCCTTTCCCACTCCTCCTGCTTGTATTGTGTCTCTCTCTGTCAAATAAATAAATAAAATCTTTAAAAAAAAAAAAATTTGAGCTTGTCTTTTGTATGTGCTCTCCTGAATTACATCTTCCTATTTTGTCATTTTTTATTGGATTTTACAAATGCACGTGTCCATGATGTTGGGGGAGGGGCCACTTCTACACTGTAGATATCTTAGAAATACTTGTGTGGATAACAGCAGCTGATATATTCATCTCCAAATGACCCAGTTCCTAGTTACACTAGACTGACATGGTTCTATTTTTGTATTTGACACCCTAAGTTCTGCGAGCACGGAGGAGTCCAGAACACTGACTAAGCCTTGGTAGGGCTCGCGGGGAGTGCTAAAGGACAGGGCAGCTGGCCTAGGAAAGGCGATGAGTCACTCACCCCCTCCTGAATTTTCCCCTCAAGCCTGCTGCCCTAGGATTCTCCAGAGAGATTAAAAGGCTCAAGGCAAAATGGATTCAATGCACAATTTTGCCTCAGGTAAAATGTGGGAGTAGCAAATTGGATGACTTTTTACAAGGATCCTATAAACTCTTTAATAAAAAGATAAAGACAAGAGCATTCTCTTCTCCTCTACACCCAGGTGTCTCCCTGAGTTTAAGAAGGACATGGGATATTCGAACCAAAACTAGCATGTATTACTATAACTGAAACTATTACTAACCACGACCTGGTCAATAATGCCCTCTGAGTGAAGTCAACGGAGCTCAGTAGGTCTGACCTCGTCTGTGGGTCAGAGTCCTAGGCTCAAGTTCAGCTTCTGTCACTCACTTACGTGTGCCCTTGGGTCTGTCTCCTTTCTCTCTTTCAGCCTCATGGGGCTCATTCTCAAAGGTCTGTTGTGAGGAATGAAATGAGATAATACATATAGAAAAGGCCTTGTCTGAGTTCCTGGCAGAAGAAAGCCATCACTGATGGGCCCCAGCAGCAGGAAGGTGCTGGCGACAAAGACAATAACAGGAAGTGGCCACTTCTTGACTTAGGACAGGCGCTCCTGAGGCATTCTTCTCCAGGATTCCTCACATAGGACAACCCACTGTCGCCAGCCCTGGGAGGTGAATGGATGAAGGATGCACTGCTTTTTGGGGAATTGATCAGTGGCAGGAGGAGGGGCACAGTGAGTTACAGTACTCAACTCTTACTATGCACTTCCTTTAGAGTTAACATTAAACTGGTTCCTGTTTCACATTTTACTATCTGTGCAGACGTGAGAGAGGCACTGACACACAGGCTCATTGCCTCAGTGTCCTCATCTGTAATTCTGTAATATGGGAACAATAACAGTGACTCCTAGAGTTCTGTGCCATAGAATTGCTATGAGGAATAAATGTGATCATATAAAGAGAGCTTAGATCTGAGTCAGGCACCTAGAAAGCATTCTGTGATGAACTGTTAAACAATTTTTCTTTTTTTAAAAGTACCCCCTAAAGGGGTGCCTGGGCTGGGCAGTCAGTTAAGCACCAGACTCCTGGTTTTGTTCAGCTCAGGTCGTGATCTCAGGGTCCTGAGATGGAGCCCTGCGTCTGGCTCTGCGCTCAGTGTGGAGTTTGCTTGTCCTTCTCTCTCCTTCTCTGTCCCTCCCCCCACCCCTGGCGTCTCTCTCTCTCTCTCTCTCTAATAAATAAATAAAATCTTTTTTTAAAAAGATTTTATTTATTTATTTGAGACAGAGAGAATGAGAGACAGAGAGCATGAGAGGGAGGAGGGTCAGAGGAAGAAGCAGACTCCCTGCTCGGCAGGGAGCCCGATGCGGGACTCGATCCTGGGACTCCAGGATCATGACCTGAGCCGAAAGCAGTCGCTTAACCAACTGAGCCACGCAGGCGCCCAATAAATAAATCTTTATAACAAAGAATAAATAAATAAAAAGTACCTCCTAAAAATAAATAATAAATAAATAAATAAATAAATAAATAAATAAATAAAAACTACCTCCTGGTTTTCCCCCTTTGTCATTATCACTTGTCCTCAGGCTCCTTGGCTGCCTTCCTCTTCTCCCCAGTGTCTTAAGGTTGGGCTGCTCTAGAAACCAGTTCCTGGTCCTGTGTACTGGCTTCTTTGATATATATTCATTCCCTTGACCATCCTGTCCAGTTTCAGCGCTTCAAATGTCAGCTCTCAGCTGTCTCCTGAACTCCAGACCCAGTACCCTGCTGCCTACTCATCCCCCTGCTTGCACGTCTAATCGGCACACCTAAGCTGGCATGCTTGTAACCAAGTCTCATCCCTTCATCCACACCCTTCCCTTCTCATGTGAGGGGAAGTCTGTCCTCCCAGCCGCTTGGACCAGAAGCCCTGGAGTCCTCAGGGATGGCTCTTTCTCTCACACCCATGTCTAACCCATTGGGGATCCTGTAGGAGTCGAGGATCTCATTCCTTCTCAGCACTGGTCTGCTTGGTGACTGCACTGGTCTCCACACTACATTTCCTAAGTCTATCCTGTCCTCTTAGCAGACTATTCTTCAGTGTCCAGGGTGATTCTTTTACAAAGTAAGTCAAAAACACATCAGGCTTCTGCACAGAACCCAAAGGCTTCCATTCCACTTGGAGAAGAGCCAGCCCCTACATGGGCCTGTGTGGCCTTATACTATCTAGGACCCTAGGGTCTCCCTCACTGTGTTCATCCCCATCCCTCCAGCCACATTGGCCAGGAACATACTGCCTGCATACCTTTGCTCCTGTCAGCCTGGAATGTTCTTTGGCTTAGCTAATTCCTTCACTATCCCCCACAAGCCTTTACTCAAATGTCATTTTTTTTCACTGTTGCCTTTCATGACAATTCTATTTAGAACTGCAACTCCCCCTCACTCACTATGCTGCTTCTTGATACACAGCACCTTTCACCTTCTTATATACTCTGTAATTTACTCAGTTAGCATGTCTAGTGTCTAGCATCTGCCATCCCCTCTGGGATCTAGGATGGGGATATTTCTGCATTTTGTTCACTCATGGATCCTAAGCCCCTAGAGCACTGCCTGGCACATAGCAGGAGTCTAATACATATTTACTAAATGAGTATCTGCAAAACATAATCTCCTAAGGGCTGGCTTAGTAACTTAAAGAGACTGATTGGCAAAGTCAGGATCTTGACACAGGCCCGTGTTCTTCCTACCACACTTTCTGCCTCCCGATACTAAGCATGTGTTCACGCATCCCAGCATTTCAAGGGACACACTGCTATGCAGTCAACTAACGTCACACTGTTGTTGGAAGGTCGTCACACAAGTAGCATCTAATGAGTACATTTCCTAGGTCAGAGAGTTAGACAAATGACAAGGATTAGCGAGCTCAGTTCCTAAGTTTCCAGTAGTAAGCTTAGATCACTAAGCTGAGTTTCCTTAAATAAAAATGCCTGCGTGTGGGCCAAGTGACCAGATTGGATTCCCTTTGGCCCCCGCACAATCAGGTGACACCAGGAAGCAGCATTTTCCCTGACATCGTAATTACCAAAGCCGCAATACACCTTCACCACTTGGCCTCTTGTGGAAGGCGTCCGTTATGATAGCCTGAACGATCTTGTCTCCTCCCGGTAACCAGAGAGACTCTGCCGGGAGACAGAAGCCTACTCACCAGGATGAAGACAGTAAAGAATATGACAACAATGGCCGCTGTAATGAACAGCTTCTTCCGGGGAAACACAGCAGCCGGGAGGAGAAACACCAGCGCAAAGCAGATGGCACCTCGGAGCCCTCCATAGGCGATGATGAACTGGTCCTTAAAGGTCAGGGGGATCGTCCGGAACCAGTTGATGACCTGAGTCAGGACAAAGACACCTGAGAACGAAAAGCAAAACCAGAGAAAACAGACTGTGTGAGGCCAGAGCATGAAACTAGGAAGGAAGACTCATGCTTGGTGCTTCTGTGACAGGGAGAAGTGTCTAATAAGCCCCACAGTCTTTCCCCTTTTCCTCTGCTTTCGGGCATTCGGTGTTCGGGGATAACGGCTAAAAATGTGAGCTCAGGGAGGCCAAGAGACGTCAGTGTGACTTATGGCAAAGTCATGAAGGTATTTGGGGATGAACAGAATCCATGAGGAATGGGGGGGGGGAGGGAGAGGGAGAAGCAGATGAAGCAGCAACAGCCAGGGGGAGGGATGGGAAGCAGCAAGCCCCATTCTTCGAGTAAGTGCTGCCGACTATTCCTTCAGGAAACAAGCACCATTACCCAGCGCTCGCCAGATCAGACAGAAGGCAAGAGTGAAGCACACGAAGGCCCAGTTCCACTCATGGTTCTTCCCGACGGTGGACACGCCCATGAAGATGAAGATCAGGGTCTCGCTGACGCTGCTCAGCATCTTCATGAAATACTTGATGGTGGTGTACGACTTCTGAGATACGTTTTCTTCCACATACTTATTCATCGTCATTGCACAAGCAGTGATTCTGCAAGGAAAGATACAGCTTGACAACGATCCTAATCAGAATAGAAGAGTCAACACTTAAGAGCTGAGTTATGGCTCTACCCTTCTTCCCAACACTGTAACATTACTGACTGATTTGTATAAGTGAATGTGACTTGCATCATTGGACCCCACTATCTCTGGAGGTCTTCATCAATACCTATGGCTTGAACTTCTCTGCTCTGCCCAGCTTTGTAGTCTATGGGCATCGGCACCTGTCAGCATCACAAATAGAACAGGTCCACAATATATTCAAAACCCACTATCTTCCTATAAAACTAGTTTTGTTTTCTCTATTGCTCTAGTGCCTAAAATGCTAAGGTATTGCCTACAAGGCTAAGCTTGAAACTGTAGTCTCACTGGCCTTCTCTCCCCGCCACACCTCCTCCATGCCCCCCACTCCACCATCTCATTGGTCACCAACTGTTTTCAACCCCTCATTCTGAGTATCTCTTGGACCTACTTACTCTTTCTTTATCCTAATGCCTTAGTTTCCACTTCTGGAAAATTCACAACATATTTATAGGCTCTGAGATCACCTAAAGAACAGAAACCCCTTTTCCTGTTCCCCCCAAAATCTTCAAAACTCTGGGACCACAGAGCTCTGGTTTCCCCTCCAACGATATCTATTTTAATAGAGCACGTGCGCACACTCTGGTAAGGGAAGGGCTCTAGGGTCAAGTCCGTGCTCCTAAGCTGGGTGGCTGAAGCTCTTTACACTCTTCACTCAGTGGACAGATCCAGTTTCACCTCCTATCCCCTCTCCACCCAGTATACACCATATGCTTCGACTGTGTGTAATTTCCCCAACATACCCTGCTCTTTGCTATCTTCTTGCCTTACTGTGTGCATAAGCTCCTTTCTGTCTGAAATGCTACCCCTGCCCATCTCAAATGCCCCCTCAGAGGGAAATTCAGTATGAACTGGGTGACAGCTCATCCTAGGTTCCATCTGAAGAGACACTGATACTAGACATCAGCTGTAGCAACATTTTTCTAGATATGTGTCTTGAGGCAAGGAAAATAAAAGCAAAAAAAACCCACAAAAAACTACTGGGACTTCATCAAAATAAAAAGTCTCTGCACAGTGAAGAAAGCAATCAACAAACCAAAGGACAACCTCCTGAACAGGAGAAGATATTTGCAAATGACATATCCAATAAAGGTTAGTATCCAAAATATATAAAGAACGTATACAACTCAAAACCCAAAAAACAAATAATCCAATTAAAAAATGCTCACAAGACATGAACAGACATTTCTCCAAAGATGACACACAGATGGCCAATAGGCACAGGAAAAGATGCTCAACATGCCTGATCATCAGGGAAATGCAAATCAAAACCACAATGAGATACCACCTCACACCTGTCAGAATGGCTAAAACCAAAACCGTAAGAAACAACAAATGTTGGTGAGGATGTGGAGAAAGGGGAATCCTCATGTACTGTTGGTGGGAATGCAAACTGGTGCAGCCACCATGGAAAACAGTATGGAGGTTCCTCAAAAAGTTAAAAATAGGGTGCCTGGGTGGCTCAGTTGGTTAAGTGACTGCCTTCGGCTCAGGTCATGATCCTGGAGTCCCAGGATCAAGTCCCCCATCAGGCTCCCTGCTCAGCGGGGAATCTGCTTCTCCCTCTGACCCTCCCCTCATGCTCTCTCTATCTCATTCTCTCTCTCAAATAAATAAATAAAATCTTTAAAAAAAAAAAGTTAAAAATAGAACTGCCCTATGATCCAGGAATCGCACTAGTGGGTATTTACCCAAAAAATACAAACACACTACTTCAAAGGGATATATGCACCCCTATGTTTATAGTGGCATTATTTACAATAGCCAAACTATGGAAGCAGCCCAAGTGTCCATCTATAGATGAGTAGGTAAAGAAGATGTGGTATATACATAAAATAGAATATTATTCAGCCATAAAAAAGAACAAAATCTTGCCATTTGCAATGACATGGACTGAGCTAGAGAGTATAATGCTAATAAGCAAAATAAGTCAGTCAGAGAAAGATAAATACCATATAATTTCACTCATATGTGGAATTTAAGAAACAAACAAGCAAAGGAAAAAGAGAGAGAGAGAAAGAGATAAACCAAGAAACAGACACTTAACTACAGAGAATAAACTGGTGGTTACCAGAGGGGAGGTGGGTGGGCAGATGGGGGAAATAGAGGATGAGCATTAAAAAGTATACTTATCATGATGAAAAAAAACAAGATAAAAAAATACAGAGACATGGATACTAGAAAGCACCAAAGGACTCCATTATCAGAAGGCATTCTGGAATGAAGGAAGACAGAATTTGAGTGAGCTGTCTGCCTTGTACTGAGTGATCACCGTGCTATAAGCCAACCACTGGTCATGATCTGTGAAGTTTTCCACATTCTCCTAATTTCAGAGCTACAACGACCCTAAAAGCACCTTGCCGCTAACCACTGCATGGAGTCCTCCTTACCCTGAGAAGATTTCTGCTATTTTACGAAAATCCTCCTACTGCGAGCACACGGATAGGCAGAAGAACACAAACCTAAGGGCTCTCTGAGTGAAGACCTAAACGGGTAATCATGAACACATTTCATTGCAAGAAAAAGACCTGTTTCTTACACACACACAACATGTCTATTTATTTGTGTGCCCCTATTAAAAGAAAACAGAGACCCCGCCAGGTCAGGAACCATGCATTTAGCCACAATGTCACCGGCCCCAGAATGAGTGGGTACCTCTTTGAGATTTATATGAGGGAGGAATGCATAATTCACGTGGTTCCCAAAAGAAAGAGTGCCTTATTAAATAAGCTAATAAAATTCAGCAAACACAAACACATGGCAAGGCCTTTGAATAGCTGAGGGCTTATATAATAACAGTCAACCTTTATAGGATCCCTGCTCTGTGCCAGGTACTATGTAAGCACCCTGTGTGCATTATGTCAGTTCACCTCATTACAAACCTCTGAACAAGTTCTGTTAGCATTCCCATTTTACAGATGAGAGAACAAAGGCAGACAGAGGCCCACTTATTCAAGAGGACACTGCTTATAAATGGTGGTGCCAGGTGTTTTACTTAAGCAGTCTGACTCAAAGCCAGCACTGTTGAGGATGTAACCCTTGTTCTGTCCAAGCTCTCAGCAAGCCCGGTCACCTTGGACGGGGAAGAGGTCTTACTCCCCTACCAAGTCCTTGCTCATCCTTTCTCAAGTACAAGCCTGTTTGTATTAGCTTCAGTAAGAAATTAGCCAGAACTTAGTGACAACACACAGATTCATCATCTTACGCTTCCAGAGGTCAGCAGTCTAAAATCACTTTCACTGGGCTAAAATCAAGGTGCTGATAAGGCTGTGTGCCTTCTGGAAGCTTTAGGGGAGATTGTTCCTCACTTTTTCTAGTCTGGAGGCTGCTCACGTGCCTTGGCTCATGAGCCTGTCACGCCAACCTCTGCCCCCTTGGCCATGTCTCCTTCTGATGGCTGACTTCCTCCTACTGTCCTCTCTTCGGTATCCCTGTGATTTTATCCAGTGTCATCTCCCCATCTCAAGACTCTAACTTAATCATACCTGCAAAGTCCCTTCTGCCATGTAAGGTAATAGATTTGCAAGGAGGGTCTGGAGATGAGAATCTTTGGGGGCCGGTATTCAGCGGATCACACCATTGTTGGCATTCACCTCCCTGGCATGGTGGCCACAACCAAGTACATGTCTCCAGGTGACTGTGGCCAGTTGCTCAAGTGTGCTTGGCGACAGAAGCTAACAGAGGCTCTGACACACTGGCTCGAATCATAGACTAGAACCTCCACCAGCAGGCGAGAGAGACTGAGGAGAACAGAATGGCAAGTGGCATCTCTCTGAGTAAGCCTACGTAGGGCATCTTGCCAGCCCCCACTGCAATAAAAACCATTTGTTAACTATGGTTCTGAACATCTTTGCCTTTCATATTTGGTTTAATTTTTCTTTAACCAGACTTCAAAAAGTAAGATTTGCCCGATATAAAATAATGAAGGTAAAAGCCTGATTAAACTGATTACAAATCTAAAGCAAAACGTGTTTTATCAAAAAAAAGATACATACACAGCAACACAAACTAAGGAGCCTTTCTTAAATGTTATCAAGCTAAAACTTTGTAACAAAAACAAATTATAATGGTCATATTATTTCCTGAAACTCTCTAATGCTATGCAAGAGGTGCCTCCAAATGATATTATAAAGCATTTAAGCTTAGAGACAAATATAGAGAATAAACACCAAAGTACCCACTCCCCAGCTCTTTATAATCACTTTATTTTTTTTTAACAAATAAAACATGAGCTACAGAGTTGAAATCACTCCATTTTTCATATTACCCCTATTTCCCTCTCTCCCTCCTGGCATTGGATTATTTTTATCATTCAAAAAGTGATTTTTAAAAGGCTGGAGAATATTGTTTTTGTGAACGTGATAAACATTTCCCTCTAAGATCAAGTTCCCGTCAGTCACTGGGAAAAAGGTAAACCATACAGGTAAAGAGTAATCTTCAGTTCATTATGTAAGCAATGTAATAAAAATTTTATTAAAAAATTATTGAAAAACATAGCTTTGGTGTAAGAATAAAAAAAATAAATGAATTTTACATGAATGTCCAGGGGATCAATTTCCATAGCTTTGTGTCCTTAACATGACACCAGCAGTGACGCTCACGTCTGCCAGACACTTCGCTGTAACTTAAAGCTATTTCCTACCAGCACAGTGAGACACTGGAGGGAGAACGGCCCCAGTGGGTACCAGAGGCCTCAGCATCTGGTAGTGCCCCGTTCAGGAAGCCTGGGCATGTCTATGGCATTGATGTGCTCTACAGGCTGGGGACAGATGTTCCAAACATCCCTGTTCTGGTCTGTCACGTAGAGCTTAATGCAAAGGCCAGGAGGTGTTTTCATTGCAAAGAGGTTTTTTGTTGTGGTATACTCTGACCTCAAGTCAAACCCCCTCACTGCAATAACATTACAAGTAC